CCCCCCGCCAGGCACGCCCACCTGTCTGGCTCCCTGGACGGCATTAGAGCTGAGAGCGGCCGCAGCTCCCTCCCGCACGCACGCACGAGCGGAGATCGGACAGCTGCAGCCAGCTAAATATAAGACATCCCCCGAAAAATAAGACCTAGTGTCTTATTTAAAAAACACTGTCTTATTTTCGGGGGAAACACGGTATATATATATATATATATATCTCTATATCTGTTACTCCTCATTACCCAGGAGGCATAGTCACCATCTTCATACAGCACACGCCTTCAGGGCCTGCAAGCAAGGACAAAAGAAATGCGCTGAAGAGAAGTAGAGGTGGTCACAGTGTGTTCTAGTGTATGGAGCATGCCGGCCTCTATAGCTCCGTATACAGGGAGACCGGTGTCTGCACATGGCTTCTTTAAGGACTGAAAGGAAATTGTTGCTGGCCCTACTATTGATGAATCCCATCACAGCTCTGACAATAGCAAGAGGAAGGGAAACGTTGCAGTTGTAAGCTTGCTTGATTTATGTGGGTATATAAAATAGGCCGAGTGTTTTGGGTGGAATGACCCTTTCGGCGTACGCTCGGCTCTTGTTACATTTCCTTTTGTCTCCTCCATGAACAGCGGCTGCTCTTTCCAGTCCAAGACGCGGGTGATCCAGGAAAATGGCGGCAGAGCGGTTATCATCGCCGACAACGCATCGGACAATGACAGCGTCTATGTAGAAATGATCCAGGACAACGCCGAGGGGGCAACGTATATCCCAGCGCTGTTCTTACTCGGCAGAGACGGGTATGCATGGGGCACCACTGAGAGTCCTGGAGTTCTGTGTGTGCATCACCCATCCGCACTGAGGCAGCTATGTTGCAGTCGAGAGCCAACTAGTCATTAAGTGGTAGGCTAACTAGTTGACTGGGTTTATGGGAGGAGCCCCACACAGTTAACCCCCCCCCCCCCGTTCCACTACTCACCAGTCGGCATGTTGGTGTCATCCCACCCTCCTTGCCCTTTCATCTACTCTGAGTATGCCCCCTTATTTTGCATACTGACCATAGTGACCATGGCACACCCCAGGTCTATGGAGGCAGGTTCGTGATCTCTCTTTTCAGATTCGTATTCAGTGGGGGCTCTGACTACAAATGTATGTTATTCCTTCTCTAGATATTATGACATCATCATATATAGCCCTGTGACATCACAAGCATTTCAATAACTTAAAGGAGATGACAATCATGAAAAACATTCTGTTCTGATAATTAAATCCTGTACAGTAAATGTCGGGTACGGTTTACACCTAATTCAAATTAAACCCATAATAAAAGTTGTGGTGCATTGTTTTGAAGCACCACAGACAGGCCTCTTGGCCTGTCCCTACCTCGGGATTGACAATGGTCCCCCAAAACATTAGAGCATCATTGATTATAGCCCCCAAGACACATGAGCATCATTAACTAGGGCCCCAAGACATTTGCACATCATTTTGAGGCACCCCAGACATGCCTCATGAACTGCTCCTTACTAGAGATTGACTGTGTCCAAGATGTGTGAGCATAAATGACTATGGCCCCCCGAGACATGTATGCATCATTGACTATGGCCCCCCCTCCCCCGAGACATGTATGCATCATTGACTATGGCCCCCGAGATAGGCGAGCATCATTGACTATGGCCTTCTAGACCTGTGAGCATCATTGACTATGGCCCCCCGAGACATGTATGCATCATTGACTATGGCCCCCTAGACACGTGAGCATCATTTCGAGGCACCCCAGACATGCGTCCTAAACTGCCTCTTACTAGAGATTGACTGTGGCCCCCGAGACAGGTGAGCATCATTGACTATGGCCCCCGAGATAGGCGAGCATCATTGACTATGGCCCCCGAGATAGGCGAGCATCATTGACTATGGCCCCCGAGATAGGCGAGCATCATTGACTATGGCCCCCGAGATGGGCGAGCATCATTGACTATGGCCCCCGAGATGGGCGAGCATCATTGACTATGGCCCCCGAGATAGGTATAATTTTGAGGCACCACAAACACACCTCCTGGCCCAACCCTACCTAGCGATTGACAGCGACCACCAAGACACGAGCGTCATTTTGAGGAAGCACAAACACGCCAACCCAATGGTCCCTAACTAGAGATTGACTATGGCCCCCAAGATATTTGACCATCATTTTGAGGCACACAGACAGGCCTCCTGGCTTGTTCCTACCTATCGATTGACATTGGCTCCCAAGACAAGTGAGTGTAATTTAGAGGGGCCACAAACACCCCTCTTGACCTGCCCCTACCAAGAGCTTGACAGTGGCCCCCAGGACACATGAGCATTATTTAGGGGGCCAACAGACACCTCCTGACCTGCCCCTACCTAGAGACTGACAGCGGCTCCTGAGACCTATTGGTGAAGAAGAGCTGACCATTTATTTGCCCTTTCACCTCACATGCTCACCTATTGGCTGTGCGTCACTCTTATATGTATAACACGCCTTCAGGTTACCCCGGAGATCAGCGCTCACGTGACTTTTGTTTTTCTCCTCGTCAGGTACATGATTCAGCGCTCCTTAGAGCAGCACGGACTCCCGTGGGCCATCATCTCCATCCCGGTCAATGTTAGCAGCATCCCGACCTTCGAGCTCAAGCAGCCCCCGTGGACCTTCTGGTAGACAGAACCTGTCGCTCTCGGCTCTCATAGACAGTTCACGCGCCGGTGTTGTTCTACATCTGACCAGCAGGGGGCAGGCGGTGTCATTGATCTATGACTTGAAGTGGAACTCCAGTCAAATCCCTGTGACTGCATTGTAGTTTCCTGTGTCACCTGCCCGCCCATTGGACCGTGATGGAGCTGAGAGAGGGGCACTTCAACTATCAGTATTTCAGAATGTTTTTGATGATATTTTCGGGTGAATACTTTGGGCTGAGGGGCGTTTTTGTTTGTACATTTGTCTGAAGTTCCACTTTAAGGGTCTTGCTTTTGTACCTCTGATTTTTTTTCTTCCTCCCGGTATGTCAGGATGCAGCGCCGAGGTGCGCTCCATGATTATAGCGCCGAGGTGCGCTCCATGATTATAGCGCCGAGGTGCGCTCCATGATTATAGCGCCGAGGTGCGCTCCATGATTATAGCGCCGAGGTGCGCTCCATGATTATAGCGCCGAGGTGCGCTCCATGATTGTGGTCCTTTTAGAAGCTTTGTCCCAGGTCAGACCAGAGGGGAACTACAAGTTCTAGCAGGCCCTGTGCGCTCATGGACCGGTCTGCTGGGGGGTTGTAATGCCGCGTTTTACAATAGCAGGATCTATGCATTTTTTTATATGGTGTGTATGTTGGGTTTATTGGACTCTTCAGTCTTCTGTGCCCATTATGAGGGGCCCCCATCTCCCAGCTGAGTTCCCGGGTCTGTACACCTGCTGTGCCCATTATGAGGGGCTCCCACCATCCCTGTGCTGAGTTCCCGGGTCTGTGCCCATTATGAGGGGCTCCCACCATCCCTGAGCAGGAGTCCATCTGTGAATGCAGAAGGGTTTTCTTTGGCCCTGGTGTTGGGTGAGATTCAGATTCCAGCCTATTGGCCCTCCGCCTCCTGACACTGAGGGGGAGACATATTGGAGCACCTTTCCCTATAGGTAGAGTAGTTGATAGTCACATGATCAGCTCCTGTGTACTCAGATATGGGACGGCGCCCCCTGCAGGCAGTGTACAGCAGCACATCTCCTCTCCGGGAACCAGCAAAGTTTTATCTATTTGTTCTATTATTTGCACTTGGAAGTTTTTGATGTGTGTGTGTGTGTGTGTGTGTGTGTGTGTGTGTGTGTGTGTGTCTCTCCACTTATCCCTGCAGGAATTTTACAAGCCGGGCGATGATGTCACAGGGGGTAAGAAATGCTGGTTTTTGCTATAGGAACGCGGTTCCTGTACTTGCAGCTTTTGCAAAGGAACCAAACATCAGAAAATGTGCGTGTAGTGCAGAGGGGTTTTTTCATGATCATCCATCAATCCTCCTCCTGCCCCCTCCTCCTCCTGCCCCTCATCCATCCTCCTCCTCCCCATCATCATTCTCCTCCTCCCCATCATCATCATCCTCCTGCCCATCATCCTCCTCCTTGTCAGAAACATGTACAAGGAAAGTATAGGAGAGTCTGTGTGGTGGGGCTGCAGTTCTCAAACATTCCAGCGGGTGGAGCAGTTGTACAGCCGGTGGCTCAGTGACATGAGAATGGAATGCAGCGATTGGCTGACCCCGGGGAGAATGATGGCAGAGTGCAGAGCTCAGGTCTGTCTGGGGGGTCACCGGCTCATCTTACTGATCATTTACCTGTCACTGTTGTAAGTTTGGACTCTCAGCTGATCCAGTCACAGCCACTGACCCGACTCATCGAGCTGTCCTGGCGCTGGGGGAGGAGTGCCGCACTACACTGAGGGCATGCTAGAATGACTTGCAGGTCAGGGAGAGTCACTTTAGCATGCCGTACCCACCTCAGCTCTATTGCTTTACAGCACAGGACAGTCCCATCATCTTATTTATTTTTTTCTGTCATGTGACAGCCCGTCACATGATGGCTCCTAGCGCCCGTCACATGATGGCTCCTAGCGCCCGTCACATGATCGGTCGCAGCGCTAGCAGACAGTTGCTGACCGATCTTTGTCCGGTCTCATGTTTGCTGCCAGAATGTGAATAATAAAAAAAAAAAAATTAAAGATGCCGCGTTTATATTTCCTCCAATCGTTGTCTGTTCTGATTTTCTAACGTCACCGACCTCAAAGGAAAGCTTTTCAGCCTCCACTCCTCTCAGCCTCCACTCCCCACCCCCATCCATCAATGAGCCTTGATTGTCCAAGCATCACAGCACTCTGCCTCAGCACTCCTCTCAGGAGCACTCAGTCCTGATGGGAGGAGTTATGCAAATATCAAAAGAAAACTGAAGGGAAGGACGGAGGTCAGATAGAAGACTGAAGGGGAGGACGGAGGGCAGATAGAAGACTGAAGGGAGGGCGGAGGTCAGATAGAAGACTGAAGGGGAGGACGGAGGGCAGATAGAAGACTGAAGGGAGGGCGGAGGTCAGATAGAAGACTGAAGGGGAGGACGGAGGGCAGATAGAAGACTGAAGGGAGGGCGGAGGTCAGATAGAAGACTGAAGGGGAGGACGGAGGGCAGATAGAAGACTGAAGGGAGGGCGGAGGTCAGATAGAAGACTGAAGGGGAGGACGGAGGGCAGATAGAAGACTGAAGGGAGGGCGGAGGTCAGATAGAAGACTGAAGGGGAGGACGGAGGGCAGATAGAAGACTGAAGGGAGGGCGGAGGTCAGATAGAAGACTGAAGGGGAGGACGGAGGGCAGATAGAAGACTGAAGGGAGGGCGGAGGTCAGATAGAAGACTGAAGGGGAGGACGGAGGGCAGATAGAAGACTGAAGGGAGGGCGGAGGTCAGATAGAAGACTGAAGGGGAGGACGGAGGGCAGATAGAAGACTGAAGGGAGGGCGGAGGTCAGATAGAAGACTGAAGGGGAGGACGGAGGGCAGATAGAAGACTGAAGGGAGGGCGGAGGTCAGATAGAAGACTGAAGGGGAGGACGGAGGGCAGATAGAAGACTGAAGGGAGGGCGGAGGTCAGATAGAAGACTGAAGGGGAGGACGGAGGGCAGATAGAAGACTGAAGGGAGGGCGGAGGTCAGATAGAAGACTGAAGGGGAGGACGGAGGGCAGATAGAAGACTGAAGGGAGGGCGGAGGTCAGATAGAAGACTGAAGGGGAGGACGGAGGGCAGATAGAAGACTGAAGGGAGGGCGGAGGTCAGATAGAAGACTGAAGGGGAGGACGGAGGGCAGATAGAAGACTGAAGGGAGGGCGGAGGTCAGATAGAAGACTGAAGGGGAGGACGGAGGGCAGATAGAAGACTGAAGGGAGGGCGGAGGTCAGATAGAAGACTGAAGGGGAGGACGGAGGGCAGATAGAAGACTGAAGGGAGGGCGGAGGTCAGATAGAAGACTGAAGGGGAGGACGGAGGGCAGATAGAAGACTGAAGGGAGGGCGGAGGTCAGATAGAAGACTGAAGGGGAGGACGGAGGGCAGATAGAAGACTGAAGGGAGGGCGGAGGTCAGATAGAAGACTGAAGGGGAGGACGGAGGGCAGATAGAAGACTGAAGGGAGGGCGGAGGTCAGATAGAAGACTGAAGGGGAGGACGGAGGGCAGATAGAAGACTGAAGGGAGGGCGGAGGTCAGATAGAAGACTGAAGGGGAGGACGGAGGGCAGATAGAAGACTGAAGGGAGGGCGGAGGTCAGATAGAAGACTGAAGGGGAGGACGGAGGGCAGATAGAAGACTGAAGGGAGGGCGGAGGTCAGATAGAAGACTGAAGGGGAGGACGGAGGGCAGATAGAAGACTGAAGGGAGGGCGGAGGTCAGATAGAAGACTGAAGGGGAGGACGGAGGGCAGATAGAAGACTGAAGGGAGGGCGGAGGTCAGATAGAAGACTGAAGGGGAGGACGGAGGGCAGATAGAAGACTGAAGGGAGGGCGGAGGTCAGATAGAAGACTGAAGGGGAGGACGGAGGGCAGATAGAAGACTGAAGGGAGGGCGGAGGTCAGATAGAAGACTGAAGGGGAGGACGGAGGGCAGATAGAAGACTGAAGGGAGGGCGGAGGTCAGATAGAAGACTGAAGGGGAGGACGGAGGGCAGATAGAAGACTGAAGGGAGGGCGGAGGTCAGATAGAAGACTGAAGGGGAGGACGGAGGGCAGATAGAAGACTGAAGGGAGGGCGGAGGTCAGATAGAAGACTGAAGGGGAGGACGGAGGGCAGATAGAAGACTGAAGGGAGGGCGGAGGTCAGATAGAAGACTGAAGGGGAGGACGGAGGGCAGATAGAAGACTGAAGGGAGGGCGGAGGTCAGATAGAAGACTGAAGGGGAGGACGGAGGGCAGATAGAAGACTGAAGGGAGGGCGGAGGTCAGATAGAAGACTGAAGGGGAGGACGGAGGGCAGATAGAAGACTGAAGGGAGGGCGGAGGTCAGATAGAAGACTGAAGGGGAGGACGGAGGGCAGATAGAAGACTGAAGGGAGGGCGGAGGTCAGATAGAAGACTGAAGGGGAGGACGGAGGGCAGATAGAAGACTGAAGGGAGGGCGGAGGTCAGATAGAAGACTGAAGGGGAGGACGGAGGGCAGATAGAAGACTGAAGGGAGGGCGGAGGTCAGATAGAAGACTGAAGGGGAGGACGGAGGGCAGATAGAAGACTGAAGGGAGGGCGGAGGTCAGATAGAAGACTGAAGGGGAGGACGGAGGGCAGATAGAAGACTGAAGGGAGGGCGGAGGTCAGATAGAAGACTGAAGGGGAGGACGGAGGGCAGATAGAAGACTGAAGGGAGGGCGGAGGTCAGATAGAAGACTGAAGGGGAGGACGGAGGGCAGATAGAAGACTGAAGGGAGGGCGGAGGTCAGATAGAAGACTGAAGGGGAGGACGGAGGGCAGATAGAAGACTGAAGGGAGGGCGGAGGTCAGATAGAAGACTGAAGGGGAGGACGGAGGGCAGATAGAAGACTGAAGGGAGGGCGGAGGTCAGATAGAAGACTGAAGGGGAGGACGGAGGGCAGATAGAAGACTGAAGGGAGGGCGGAGGTCAGATAGAAGACTGAAGGGGAGGACGGAGGGCAGATAGAAGACTGAAGGGAGGGCGGAGGTCAGATAGAAGACTGAAGGGGAGGACGGAGGGCAGATAGAAGACTGAAGGGAGGGCGGAGGTCAGATAGAAGACTGAAGGGGAGGACGGAGGGCAGATAGAAGACTGAAGGGAGGGCGGAGGTCAGATAGAAGACTGAAGGGGAGGACGGAGGGCAGATAGAAGACTGAAGGGAGGGCGGAGGTCAGATAGAAGACTGAAGGGGAGGACGGAGGGCAGATAGAAGACTGAAGGGAGGGCGGAGGTCAGATAGAAGACTGAAGGGGAGGACGGAGGTCAGATAGAAGAATGAAAGTCTCAGGTTGGTCTTGTTCCCTCCCTTCTCACACATGGGCAGTTGGGATGTGTAGTTCTATAATTGGGGGTGTGGCTCTCCAGTCAGAATGTAACCAGTACAATTGTATAATATCACTCGGTAGCTGTGTGTATATGCTCCCGCTGATTGGACAGCTCTGTCTCTGACTCTCCAGGAGGCGGGATCTGACCTCTGCAGAGAGACCGCTGCTTCCCCCTCCCCCCACACAGAGGACAAGGATCTCCTGCTCTGCAGCACGCTGGCTGGGGGCGGGCTCATAACAAACAGAGAGACTTGGAAGACTTTGGATGCACCTGACATGTATTTAGGTAGTTTACACGGAAAGTTCAATGTGAAATCATACATGTGACATGAAACACGTGACATCATACATGTGACATCATACACGTGACATGTGACATGAAACACGTGACATGATGTGTAAAGCATAAGATGATTAGGGGATGCGTGTGGGAAGTGTAGACGGCCAGGGCTGACCTCTCCTCATGAAAATGCCTCTTGCCTGACCCCCACGGCTGGCCTGGAACCATCACACGGATCATCAGCGGTTCTGCCGTCACTGGCCGCATGCTTGTTGTGGGTCTCCTGAGGAGGTCGGTGACACGGGTCAGGATTTGGCCTCCTCCGCGTAGTTGGATATTTCTATTAAGTTGTGATCGGGGTCCCGGAAGTAGACGGACGTGATCTCCCCCATGGCTCCTGTGCGGGACACGGGCCCTTCCTCTAGGGGGACACCGCAGACCTGAGGGGAGAGAAGAACAAAGGGTCAGGGGAAGCAGAGCTACACGGATTGGTTGAGTTGGCGTCACATGTTACAATGTCCTTCAGAGATCGTGTGAAGGTCTCCATGGCCGGACACTGACTCAGGGACTTCCATTGTACCTCAGGATTTGGCATCCTCGGCACTCCAGCTGTGGTGGAACTACAAATCCCATCATGCCCCTGCATCTGAGAGTCACGCTTATGGCTGTCGCAGTCTTGCAGTGCCTCATGGGAGTTGTAGTTCCACAACAGCTGGGGTGCTGACCCACTTCTATCTTCACTGCCAAATATATTTCCTGCATATGATATCACAATCTCAGCAGCAGCCTGCTGTCAATGAGAAGGCGGAGTTTCCTAGCACACATGGTTGTCACGTGTCACATGACTCACACTCAAATAATTTCTAATACATTTCCTGCATATAATATCACAATCTCAGCAGGAGCCTGCTATCACTGAGGAGGCGGAGTTTCCTAGCACACATGGTTGTCACGTGTCACATGACTCACACTCAAATAATTTCTAATACATTTCCTGCATATAATATCACAATCTCAGCAGGAGCCTGCTATCACTGAGGAGGCGGAGTTTCCTAGCACACATGGTTGTCACGTGTCACATGACTCGCACTCCCACATAATTTCTAATACATTTCCTGCATATAATATCACAATCTCAGCAGGGGCCTGCTATCACTGAGGAGGCGGAGTTTCCTAGCACACATGGTTGTCACGTGTCACATGACTCGCACTCCCACATAATTTCGAATACATTTCCTGCCTATGCGGATCACAATCTCAGCAGGAGCCTGCTGTCTCTGAGAAGGCGGAGTTTCCTAGCACACATGGTTGTCACATGACTCGCACACCCACGTCTGCATGGCCTTCTGTGGGTGATACAAAGTATAACACGGAAGCCGCCTCCTCTTTTCGTTCTGTAGTGATCACATTTTGCGCACAGACTCTGATCTGGGAGTTCACCTCTAAAGTCCAACCAAACGAACCAGTTTAACCAGTTCAGCTCCCAGTCCCGGACACACCGCGTATGGACCGGAGCCATTGTGACATCTCCGCGGCGGGCCTGTTGATTTGGCAACAAGTGTAACCTAACAAAGTAACGCGTGTATCCTTTTTGGGGTGATAAAATGATATTGAATGCAACCCATAGACAAAACAAAAGTAACTAAAGATGAAAAAAAAAAAGGTGTCCCTGTAAATAAAACTTAGAGGCGGCGCCCCGAAATGACTGCTGATCTCTCTCTCCGATCATTGTG